AAGACTGATTTGCAACATTCCCTTAAATACTACCAGAACAAAAACAAAGAAATCTTTAAATCAGTTGTAAAAACATAAAAGACCTTTTGGTCTTTTAGGTTCCCGTGCTCCAGGGTTGCACCTGGCTGGAGCTAGATAAACATTTCCACAGGCCTAAAGGGGGACACACCCCCTCCTCAGCAGAACATAATTCTACAAAGGTTTTGAATCTTTCTCATAATATAAATGACTACTGTGAAATTGAAACCAATTTACCAATTGCACAAAGACCTTTAAAATGACACCAAACATGAAAAGTTTACGATCATGAATCCTGAAGATATAGTAAATGTTTTATGTGAGCATATCAACTTGAGTTCTTGGCATTTCTCTGTCAACTTTTAGTGACCTGGACCATGTGCCCAGGGGGGAGGATGGGTGAAGGAACTGAAGAGCAGATGGTCTTTCTTCCAGATCTTCCTATCTTGATCAAAGCCCATTGTTTCTGAATGTTTGGCTTTACGAGGAATTTATTTTATAAGGAAATAATTTCACTCCTTTCAAGCTGAGGACAGCAATGACTCTAAAAAGATTATCCACTCTTTCTTTTTTCCATAGAGTCTGAAGGGATTAACAGATTGGATTATTATTATACCTGAGTGGATGCGCGATCTATTGCCAGATTCACACATAGGCTATCCTACTGCGTGAACCCGTGCGCTTTCGTTCCGACGGCCATATATTACTCAAACCGATTCTAGAAGCATGCTGTCGCGCAACTCCCGTCCCATCTCAACTGAAATGCCTCGCTCATGGATGTGTGAATCCGCTACGGAGCGTCAGCCTGGCGCTTTCACGTTGTACTTTGCAGCCATTGGCAATCAAGAAAGGGGCAAAGTGTAAACGAGTGAGTTTGTAAGTTTTATTTTCAGTTCAAATCCTCACAAAACTATATGTAGCTATATACAGTGCTTAACAAATCTATTAGACCGCCCGTCAAAAACTTGTTTAAAACTAAAAATGGTGTTATCATTGGGCAAATAACAAACTGAAACAACGAAATAGTCTTTATTCACACATAATAATCAAAATCTAATAAACCAAAAAATATAAATAGGCTATTTTATTTTTATTTGTATGGCCTCCTTTGGCCTTGAAACAAAGATTATCCCCTCCTTTTTTTCCCCCCATAGAGTCTGAAGTGATTAACAGATTGGATTATTATTATACCTGTAACAGTTGGCTTCACTAGTTATACAATGTTTCAATTTGCTGCATCACATCTTAGAACAGATTACACATGTAGGAGGTGGGTTCACAAGTTAAAAATAATTTATATCATAATATATATAAATTATAGAATAATATAATTATATAATAATTCCAGAGTACACTGTAAAAAGTGGTAACATGATTTTGTAAGGATTTTTGTAGCCTTGTTATCAGATCAGTTTATTAATATAAATTTTGCAATTTTTTTTTTTATAAATTAATAAATAAATTTAATTATCACATAAAGCACATTTCATTCATTCATTCTTTTTTTTTTTTATCTAATTTTTTTGGGGTGGAGGGGGGGCACTCTAGGTGTCGTTGCCCAGGGGCACCAAAGAGTCTTAATCCACCACTCAGGAGGGGGGAGCCATCAAACTCGGGTTCAGACCAGGCAAGCGAACCAAGTGTGAAAGCACCCTAAAGCAGTTTAACAGTGATGGCCGCTTTTGAAACACTGCTTCATGAAGCTTCGAAACCTTTGCAAACCATTTTTTTCGAAACAGTGGTTCTGAGTGAGTATCAAAATGCCAAAGTCACGTGATTTCAGTAAACGAGGCTCCGTTACGTCATAACTGTTTCGAAACGTTTCGAAATTTTAATGGACCCTTTTCACAAGACTGTGATGTTTAATGGTCATCAGCATCGTAAATCCTCGAAAATTTTTCATATTTGTATTTTTTTTTTTTAAATGTATCTACATTTATAACACTATTCTTTGTATTATATCACCTTTGCATCAAATTACAAAAAAAACAGTTAACGCTAATGCGTCTAATGTAAACTAAGCACATTAGAACGTGTTTCTAATGCAGCGTCTATGGGAGGGACGGTAAATTTGACATGGTTCTCTCTTTTGACTGCCATTATCAGCTTTTTTCCTTTTATTGAAAGTCATGAAAACACTATCGTGCAGTTTTTCTTTTGCTATTTGAGCAAATGGGAATGCAAAAAATATATTTGTGGTACTCTCCCATTCACTGCTCTTCAAGTTAACCCAACTATGACGACTTCCGCTGCTGAGAAACCCGGAAATGTGAAAAGGGTCCATAGTTTTGCCTTGTATACAGAGGTCCTGAAAATTATGAGAAGTGATAAAGCCAAGAAATTATTTGATTTGTTTAATAAGTGTGATTTTGTTTAATCCCCTACATTGTTTATGGTTGCTGCATGAATATATTTTATTTTATTTTATTTGGATTAATGTCTTGTATGATGGTTTATTTCTCTGTTGTAGTATGATTAATATGAATGTCTCAGTCTGTGAGGAGTTACAGTTGTGGTTATGTTAGTCTATTTTGTTCTGTTATGATGCTTGAAATGCAAAATAAATATATATATTTTAAAAGATGTTAAAAAAAAGAAAAGTTTTGCCTTTGTGGGGTGAATACGTGAATCATGCGAGTTCATTGAGCTCGCCTCGAGGCAGCGAACCATTGATCGTCTCTGATCTCGGATCAGTTTGATCAATTTGTAGACATTTTTAACGAGATATTTGTGTCATTAAAAGGATGAGTTGTAGTCTCTTACTGGCTTGTTTAAGCTCTCCATAAAACAAACAAAAGTCCTGCAAATTAATAATAATAATTTAAAAAACACATTATACAGACACTTCATATTTAATGGTATTTCATTATTTTGATAGCATTTAATATATTATACTTTTAAGAAAGCATTTGCATTGAGTTTGTAAAAAGCAGTTTTGCAGTTATGCATGTTTCAGCCTGAGTTTTTGTTGCATTTCCGCAGCTTTGACCATCGGGCCATTGATCGTCTGGTGATTCGTGCGCTTCGAAAAGGTTTAACACAAGGCTGCAACATAACAAAACATGAAACAAAATGAAGGGGTTTGAATACTTTCGCAAGGTACTGTAAATATAAATATATATTTTTTTTAAATTTTAAGTACTTAAGATGTAATTAGCTTACTTATGTTAAGTTTTAGGACGTTGTCAATGTAATTAAATCTTAGCGCACGTAAAATGTGCAATCAAATATGTGTTCAGCGTATCCTTATATTTGTATTTAACGATCAAAAACAAAGTCGTCAACAGGGCGTCTGTGTTTGAGCGTCCTGTGGCTCTCTCTCTCTCTCTCTCTCT